AGGCCTCCAGGCAGACAGACCTGCTGATGGCAGACACAGCTCTCCAGGTCACAGGTTGCCAGGATGCTCTTTGTGAGGCTGGGGCAGACAAACAGGTATTTTGCAGAAGGTGTGCTGTGGTTGAAGAACCGTGTCACCAGGTGAAGGAGCTACAGGAAGAAGTGAACAGGCTTTGTAGTGTTCGAGCAAATGAGCAAAAGAGAGATCAATCATTTTCAGAGACACTACAGTTTCAAGACTCTCATGAGTCTTGAATCTCTATTGCAGTGGAGAAGCAGGTGGACTCAAAACCCTGCAGGGCTATTAGTCAAAGGACTGTTAGTCAAGGGTCTGTTAAAGACGAAGGCTGGAAGCAGGAGGAGTCATTGTATGTACCAGGAGGAAGGTTCCCTCAGAATTTGACAAGTAGGACTGGCACCTTCTACAGCAGGCTCTGGAAGGCCAGAAAATTGATGAGGTGGATGAAGGGCTTTCTGGGGTAGTGGGGCCTCCAAAAACAACACAAGCTGTTCTCTCTAAATAGGAAAAGAGGGTAGTTGTAACAGGAGACACCCTACTAAGGGGAGTGGAGGGCCTGATCTGCAGACTGAACCCAACTCACAGGGAAGCCTGCTGTCTCCCAGGGGCTCGGATAAGGGACATTACTGGAAAACCCTCCAGTCTAGTAAGGCCCTCTGACTTCTATCTGCTACTGGTTGCTCAAACTGGCAGTGACCAAATAACAAAGACAAGTCTGAAGGCTATCAACAGATTTCAGAGCCCTGGGAAGGTTGGTAGAGGGATCAGGAGCACAGGTAGTGATTTCCTTGATTCTTCTAGTAACAAGGAATAATATTGATAGGAATAGGCAGATCCATCAGGTCAATGAGTGGCTCTGAGGTTGGTGTACTCAGAAAAAATTGGGGGTTTTTGCCCATGGGATGATCTACTCGACACCTGGTCTACTGACACCTTTCAGGATACGCCTGTCTCAGAAGGGAAAAAGAGTTCTAGCACAGGAGTTGGCAGAGTTTCTTGACAGAGCTCTAAATTAGCTTGGAAGAGGAAAAGGGACAAAACCAGGCTCACCAGTGGTGAGTGATGGGATGGTGTGCCAAAACTTGAGAAAACCCTCAATCTGCCTCACAGAGTGTTGGCTACGATGTACCACAACTGAAATGTTTCTACACTCATACACACAGTGTGAGGAACAAAAGAGGAGCTTGAAGCTTTGGCCCAGTCCCAGAAATTTGACATCGCTGTCATAAGTTAAACCTGTGGGATGAATCCTGTGACTGGAGTGCCCTGCTGGACAATTACAGTTCCTTCAGGAGGGATAGGCAGGGCAGAGGGATGGCACTGTATGTAATAGAAGGGTTAGAGTGTATAGAGCTCACAGCTGGCAATGGCACCATTGAGAGCCTCTCGGTAAGAATGAAGGGGCAAACAAATAATGCAAGATGTCATTGTGGGAGTCTGCTACAGACCTCCCAAGCCAGGATGATAATGCCAACAAATTATTCTTTGAGGAACTAAGAGACACTTGCAAGTGAACTGCCCCTGTCCTTATGGGGATTTCAACTTGCCAGAAATTAACTGGGAGCATCACATAGCTGGTACCACTTGGGCTAGAATATTCCTAAAAAACTGAATGACAACTTTATGGAACAGGTCTTAAGAGAGCAGACTTGGAAAGATGCTCTCCTTGATCTGCTGCTTGTCAACAGAGTGGATCTTGTGAGCAAAATGCAGAGGCACTGCATCCCTCCTCTCCCAGCTAACTGAAGTACCCTAAAGCCGAGACCAAACTTACACTGAAACAGAATTAATTCAGGATGGAGAGACAGGAATCACAAAAAGGAAGATGACTGACCCTTTTTACTGTGTGCTGTCTAATGGCTATAATGTATATATCCAGGCTTTAAACTGGACTGGAAATCCTGCCTCCTGCATGAGCACTATGGCAGGAATACCATGCTCTTGCCAGAAACAGAGCCTAAGAGGCTCTGGAAGTGGAGGATATTCCTTTCTTCCAGTCATCATACTTAGGCTTTGTGAATGAAGATTTCTTCCAGTACCCCACTCCTAATTTGTCCCTAGCCCAGTAGTTACACTGTACGCTCATGAAGGTATTATAAATTCCCCCTAAACAAATAGCTTTTGAAACAAAAGTTCTTTAATAATCAATTTAATTATATAACTGCAATGAAATTGCCTTTTTACTAAATAGATTTAATTTTGAAGATACCAGAGGCATTTCTGTATTTGTGGGGGCTTTCAAGATCACAAGGGAAATATTGTTATTAAAAGACCTTATCAAGCCCTATCAGTCTGTATGGCACTGCATAGGATGTGAAAACAAGAACTGAAAAGCTTTCACTCTAATAGATAGTTTGGTAGAGGGGCAGGGAAACACAGGCAGAATCCTGATGGTTTTGGAAGAAGCAGGCAGCTATCAGCAATTCTCTGCAATAAAAATCTCTACTGGTGATGCTAGAAACCTTACATTTGTACAGATTATCAAAAGAGAGGTTTCACACCTAATTAATGTACTGTCAGCTTCACACAGCTTGTGTTCATGTATGATCAACAAAGATTTTGGATAGGTACTGTTTTCACATCAGTACTATTTGGTAGAAGAAAATTAATTACCAATTGTTCTCATCCAAACTAGATTTTAAAAAGCAATCTTCCAAGTGACAAAAGCACCTTTATGTTGTGAAATAGCACAACGAATTAGATTGAATCATGTCACGCACTTGTCAACTCTCAAAACCTTTTTTTGGGAACAAAAATTACTGAGCTTTCAGTAATTTTCAGCAACCAGATGTTTTCAGACCTACAAGAGTCCTGTGGTTCTGAACTCCTTTCAGACCATCCAATACATCTCTTGATCATGATTTCTCTGCAACGTCTGCTTATTGGCAGATGACCTCTCTCTGTAATCTGAGCAGCTCATGTAAGGATCATCACCACTCCCATCAATTTCTTGAGCATCTGGGCCCTGAGATCTCCAACACAAAAAGCAAATCCTAGTCAGCATTTAGAAGAAAAACAGAATTGGAAAACAAAATTCCTATTACCATAATTATTACACTTCCCTTTGATGTGGATCCTGCCTTCCCCAAGGGAATTATCACTTTGTCCTGCTCTCATGACTGTAATCTAGATATCTTAGCTACAAGCAGTACTGTTACTGTGCACCTACAAGTGCTCCACACTTACTGAGGTCTGAACAAACTTCAGTTAAAATTGTTAGTATTTTAAAACCAATTTAGTTCAATGAAAGTGTGTACAAAAATCACAAATGGACAGCTACTCCATATCCTACCACAGAAGGAATTTTCATTCCATAAGTAGGTCTTGATGAAGAATGCAGGGTCAACCTATTCAGTCTTGACAGCAGGGGAAGGAAACTAAAAAAGTGACTACCATCTTTGTCAGACTGTATTGGCAATGTGACCAACTTAAATTTCACCTAATAATTTGTAAAATGGAGGTCACCAGAAAAGTTTAATGGTTTAGTCTACATGAAGACAACAAGCTTCTTTAAACAAATGAATATTCCTATGGAGAGTCTGAAAACAAATCAATGTTGAATCAATAACCTGAAGATTAAAATTACTTCAGTGTTGTATAGTCCAACTGCACAGAAATGCAGAAATTCAGCACAAAATACGAATGATGACAAAAAAGCTGCATTTTTATAAAGCAGTGCTCAAAAGGCTTTGAAATCAATAGCAGTATCACCTATACCTCACCAGATCTGTACTGAATCATATGTGACATATACCTTGTACCATACTAAAGAATTTTAGTTTGCCTGTAGCTTAAATTTTAGGACAAGATGGAACCCTTGAGCTTTATATAGTCGTGAATCCTCATATTAAAAATCACTTTGGTTTTGGAAGAAAAGTGTGATTTGCAGCAGCTTTAATATGCAAGCCCGTTTGCAGAGAACTGTTCTATAAACTGTATCTGGATGACAATAAATCCACAATCTCTGTTATTTGCTCAACTAGCCAGGGTGTCAGTCTCTAAATGTAGGGTACTTTAAATTGTGGTGGAAATGTAGTGAGAAACTTCACTGCGGGAGGTTAAAATCAGTGTGAAAAAGAGGGAAATGTGTTCATGGGCTTTCAGATACAGCTTTGCCTCTTTCTGATCTGGTCACACTTCCTCATTTGCAGCAGCTCTCCCACAGATTCCATGGTCAAGAGAATCCCGGTATATATAGCAATTAATTTTAGATAACCACTTGCATCATTTGATGGACTCCTTTGCTTTCATCAAAGCCCAGTTTACCACGGAGCCTCCGTGGCTTTTGATCATTTAATGAACCGGAGGATGGTTTTCCAGAGCTAACACGATGCCTTTTATTATCCGCCCCTTACGAACACCCTGAGGTTCCATCTCCCCTTACGGAGAGTTTTGATGTATTTTAACGGGGACCGCGTCTTCAGCAGCGTCCCCTCCTCCCAAAACGGGGCTTCCCCGGTGGCTGCAGAGCCGGCCTGCCTGCCCCCCGCCAGGGCGCCGAGGAGCTGCAAGCCAGGTTCGGGGCTCGGGGCTGGTGTGCATCCCGCTGGCGGTGGGGGCAGAGCGGCTGGCGGCCAGGATCAGAGGGGAGCGGACAAAGGCGGAGCAGCGGGCAGCTCCCTCGGAGGTGAGGGGCGGAGCGGGGGCAGTGGGTGCGCTCCTCCCCCGGGGCACAGATGACTCCGTCCCGCTGCCGCGGAAACCCCCCGGGAGTGCGTCGGGCTGAAGCGGCATAGGGTCCGGCGCTGCGCAGCGGGAGAGATCGGGAAGGCGGAGGCAGGAGGCGATAAAAACCCCGTCGCCGCTGTGACTGGGAGTCTGCTGCCTTCCCTCCTTACCCGTCGCCGGTGCCGAGCTTCGGGCCTCAGCTCCGTTCCCGAGGGCAGCGGGCCAGCACTGCCTGCGCCCGCGGGGTTGCGCAGCGGAGCCGCTGCCGCGCTCTCGGGGCCCCCCGTTTCCCCCGGAGCCGAGCGGAGCGCAGTATGCGGGGCTGGGGCTGGAGGCGGCGGCGGGGTCGGCGTCGCGCTCCCCGGACATGAAGTGGTTACCGGGAGCTCCAGGTAACGCTGGCGGACATCCCCGCCGGGATATGGCGGGGGACAGGGTCCAGCGGGGCAGGAGCCGGGGCTGAGATGGGCCGCCAGAGACGGGGGCGAGCGCATGCCGGCAGCGGGCGGGGGAGACCGAGTCCGTACCTCCGCCGTGGAGCGGAGCGGCAGTGGCCGAGCCTGCCCAGGGAAGTCAGTTAGAGACCCTTCGGGATGCCTGTGAGTGACCTCGGTCCGATGCCGGCTTGGTGTGCCCGGCCACTGGACTCACCGAAACTTTGCTCTCCGTCGACTCTCGATAGGAATCGGGGGGCTGTAGCGGGCAGACCTTGTCGGGAGACTGGCAGGAGCCCCCCACCTCAGAGGCAAGGGTGTTTCTCTGAAGTTTAGCCCGTCAGATAAATTTTGGAGACGGTGGGGATCCTACACTGGGCAACTAAACTTTCGTAGGATCTGGAAATTCATTGCTTGGAGACTGGTTACTGATACTGTAAGAGGCACTGCCGCTTATCATTGTGTTTTTTCTTAATTATTTGCTGATCTCCTTAGCAACTGAAGTAATTTGCAAGGTTTAAGCTTGGTTGCAGCTTGATTTACAAAATAACATGACAAAAAGGGTGAATTTATTGTTTCACTGATGCGTATTTATTTCCCTTGTTCTCCCTCAGAGGGATAAGTGTTGACTTCATGTAGCTGGTGCTGCCATAAAGAGACTGTTGATTATTCTGACTGAGGCTCTGTACGTCACCCGGTTGCTCATCTCTGTCTCAGTTTTCTTTAAGCCAAGTGAATTATCGTAGGCTTAAAAGAAAAAAAAAAAAAAAAAAGAGAAAATCTCTCTTCAAAGAAATGATAGTTTTATCTGGCTAAGGTTACTCGGACAAATTAATCTCTAATTCAGCATGATTGAGGTCTGGCCAGATGCTGGCCAGAGAGACCACTCCATTTGCCAGGCTGACCTCGGGATCAGCTTGCTGCAAATATGATATAAAGCCATTTTTTTCATCACTGTTAGTTCCTGCACCAAACACAATTTAGCCCAGTTCAGGGATTTAGTCCAGTGTATCAAGACATCTCCCAGATGTAGCTCACCAACAGTCTTTGCTGTCCAATCCGTCATGTCACTAAATCTCATGGATTATGATGGTTGAGTAATCCAGATCTGCTCAGTCAGAAATGCTGAGCACAGCTGTCAGGAAGATTTGATGCAGAGAATTCCTTTTACACTCAGGAGTGATAAAAGCAGAGTAGAACCTGGAGACTGAAGTGAGATGGCCGTTGTAGGAATATTTCCTCTGACAGTATCTCCCCCCCCAACACACGAGGAATGGAATCTTATGCAGACCTTCCTTATAAGTGTAACTTTTTGAAAGATTAATTGCATAGGATGCCACTAGTCTGTTTGTAATTAATGGCTGTGTCATGTACTTAAGCAGGATTTGCAAAATTAGGATTAAAAGCATGAATAATTATACTTGTATAGTATTTTTGTTATAAATTAATAAACCCCCATTCTAAAAAGCACTTTTTCTTCTGAGTTCATGAGGAAAGCTTTGTCAAATGTCATACCAGAAAAAAATAATAGAGCTATGAGAAAATGTTAACATCTGAACCACTACTGTTTCATTTCATGTATTATATTTAACTAATACAGCCCTGATTCATCTGATATGTAGACTGGTATAGTGGGAGAGCACCTCTGTAGACACTGGAAATCAGTGAGAAGGTGCAAAGATGTATGAGTGATTTGTGTGCTGATGAGACTGAGGCAAGACTCAAGAGAAGACAGTCATAGGAGATGTGGTGCAAGGAAGGAGGTAGGGGATATAGAAATGGTGAGAACCTTCTGGAGGGTGAACTGAGATCTCTAATATTTTCTAGTGTTTGCGCTCTCTAGAGGCTACTGTTCCTGCAGTGGTACAGTGAGGTTGTGTGCAAATGTTTTCATTTTCACTCTGCAGGATGTACCAGCCAGATGTGGGACTATTTGCATCACCAGGAAAATGCTTTACAGTAGGAATAACATCTATCAAACAAAATTTTTTTATGATGAAAAGACTAGCGGTAGTATTTTCAAAAGGACTTCAGTCCAATTCACTGCTTAAATTAAGAGATGGGCCACATAAGGATTTTTTTAGCAAAGTCTCAAATGAACTGGGAGAGATAGTTTGGTGTACAGGTCCCCTGGAAGAAACAGCAATAAGCCTGAAGGTACTTGCAGGAGGTGAGAAAGTTGGTGTAGAGATTATTAATGTTGCATTAGTGGGAGAGAGAGCCCAGAGAAAAGGGAAATGAGTGTCTAGGACATTAGTTGATCTTCTAGTGATAACTAATGGTGAGGCTGTATGTTGCCTGGCATTCCCCTTTCCTTAAGCAGCTCTAGATGCTCATTACTTTAAAAAGAACCAAACAAACCAAACCGAAAACCAACTCAGAAATAAGGAAAAAAAAAAAAAAGGAAAAAAACCCATAAAAACCAATAACACACATACACACAAAAACCAGTAACACACATACACACATACACATTACCTGTTCCTGATTACAGATCTTCCCTATGATAGCAGGATATGTCCTGCATTTCTTCTTGAACAGTTAAGAGGCGTGTGTACCATTATTGCACAGATGATTTATCTCAGAGAGTACTGTGTTTTTGGCAGTGATCTTAAGATACCACACTTTAACACCACAAAGAAATTATTTCTTTGAAAAGAATTCAAGAACAAAAATCCCAACCATGCCCTTTACTTTACTATAAATCTAAAAACTATTTACCCAGCTCATTCAGAAATAATGGTGAAGTACTTCACCAGAGTCTGTTGACACATGTTAGCTGATAGTGTTCAATAGCAGTATCTCTCTTGAGAAAATATACAATATTGAAATTTGTAAAATAGGACTTTTCTAAGACCTGAAATAATGTGACTGGGGTGAAACAAAATGCCACTTTTCAATATAGGGCTGATTGTAGGCTTTATTCTTCCTTTCCACTTAACACATGCACGTTACTACCCAGAAATACTTATGCAGTTATTTTAAGTAAGTTCAAATGACCACATAGGTTATAAATATTTATATTGATCATGCTTGGCTTTGCAGACCATCCTAGGTAACCTGTGTGGAAGATTTGAGGAACACAGGTTGAAGAGCAAGTTGCAACTCAAAAGTCCTACTCTCCAAAAGGGCAGAGAACCTGTTGGGAATGTAGGCACTGCACTGTGAGTTGGACATGGTAAGGAATGCTTCTGCTCTTCAGTGTAATCTCTAAATCGTCTTGTGTGTCCTGTGAAATGTTTAGGGTGTCTATAATTTACATTTGCCCTGCCAGGCAAGACAAGTTATCTGAAACACTTTTCATTTTTCAACTTCAACAAGCTTTGAAAGTGGACAACCCAGTTTTCAGCCCTTGCAAGCTTTTTTTGCTCCCTAGAACTCAAAGGTATTATGTTGATTTATAGTACCCACTGATCTGCCTGTGGGATTTGGTTGTGGACTAGCTCAAGGATAGTTGTAGGCTTGGACAGAAGCAAACTTGCAAGGTTATCTAGTGTATTAAACTTGGTAACCCTTCCAAACCTGAGCATTGACGTAGTATATCCCATTGGGAGTATCTCCAGGATCACAGTTATATTCAACATGGGAAATGATTTTTGAAAGTGCTGTTCATCTCGTTCCAAGTGCAGTTACATTAAAAATTAGGCTGCATAGCTTGCAGAATCAGGCATTCAAATGTTAGTGGGAAGGCAACCTATGCAACAGCAGTACATCTCCCCTTTTGTGGATACTTTATAATTCAGTCTTCACGCACATGGTTTTATGGTATGTGGTTTTCAGATACCTTGCTTCATACAGTAGACTAACTAAATGACTTGTTTAAAAAAAATATTCGTCTGGGTTCCTAACTTCCCATTGAAAGCCCCATGCAGTTAGAAGCTTCAGTAAGCTGTAAAAGCCTAGAAGAGTTTATGAATTTTGATATTAAGCTTTCATTTAAACCAATCAGTTTATTTTTACAATATTTCTATAGCTAAGATCATGTTGCTATATCCCTTGTATAGAGAGGGAAGCAAGGAGAAGCCTTTGCAGTCAGAAGTGCCAGCTAGAGTCATGCATTGACTCGCATCTCAGCATTTCTTCAGATGAGTCCTTTCCAAACTTAACACACAGAGGTTCCTTATTTTCTAAGTTCCAAGCTGGTGTTTTTAATGTGTTCATTACTTTCTAACAGTCACCAGTTTACATAATTTGCCTGAGCTCACAGGAATTTTGTGGCAGAGGTTAGGACATGCTCCAGTTCTCAGATATAGGCATTTACTGAGCTCCTAATGTAATCACCCTTTGTTTTCCTGTTCTTCCTCAAAACCTGTGCACAGTGTGAGGAAAGGTTTTGGAGGAAAATTTAGCAATCATGTAACCTGTAGCCATTTGGAGTTGGCTTCCTGCCAAATCCCCCCAGACTACAGCAAAAACCTCCCCCTCCCCTTTGGGCAAAGGAAAAAAACTATAGAAACTGAAAGATCCGAAACCAACTGAGCTATATCAAAATATATATATTTACATATATCACAGTTACAATATTATGTAAATATAAAAAGAGAACCCCAAACAACCCCCCAAAAAGAGGAAGGGAAGGGGAAAAGGGACAAAAAACACAAAAGAAACCAGAAACAGGTATGCACAATAACAATCAATAAAGAACTAGCGAAAGAAAATCTTACTACTCTCCTTGAAATAGCAGAATCTCGCCAAACAACCACCAGCACCCTCCTGCTCCTACGGCCTACAAGACCTCACTAGACCTGACTCCCCCACATGAGCAGGACCGACAGCAGAGAACCTGTGCCTTTAGATCCACCGGAAGGGATCTCCTTCTTATTTATACCCTGGCTTGCATAAAAATCAAATGGAATACTGGGAACATGGCCACTTCCTTGGTTACAAACTGATCACCGAGGAAGACCTAGACTAAAAGTATCACATAACCATCATGGCTAGGCTTCGCGAACGAAGATTTAGGAAGGCACTATCCACATTTACTACAGGCACGCTGGTGGCTTACGAGGCCAATACATGACAGACATATCCGATTGCAAAAGGCACAGCAGAAAGACTCCTTAGATGGTGTATTCTGCAAGACACGGTTCTTTCTGCGTTGCCTTTTTTCCTCGAGAGTGATCCTGTGTGTGTTCTCGAAGGAGACAGCTGCGTTATAGATGGCGTGTCTCCAGGCCTCCCGATTTGAGGCCAGAGTAGACCAGTTATGGTGATCAGTAAGGCCAAGGCTGAGATGTTGTTTCACGGAGTCCTTGTATCTTTTCTTCGGGGCTCCTCTCATGCAGCAGCCAGTGGCAAGTTCACCATAAAGCAGGATCTTAGGGAGGCGGTGGTCCTTCATCCTTGAGACGTACCCTGCCCATCGCAATTGCGTTCTCAGTAACATGGCCTCAATACTTGTGACTGCTGCTTGCTCTAGTACAGATGTATTGGTCACATAATCTGACCAACCAATGTTAAGAATTGTACGGAGGCAGCGTTGATGGAAGCGTTCTAGGAGACGCAGGTGATGGCGGTAGATGACCCATGATTCAGAACCATATAAGAGAGTAGACAACACTATGGCTTTGTAAACCAAAGACTGTATATAAAAAGTAAAAAATGGCAAGGAAACCTTAATTCCGACACCTTAATTTTTGAGCACTTGACTTGGCAGTCTTGCCATTCTCTTGGTGTTTTTTTGGAAATGCAAACATCTAAAACCAATGCATATATAAATTGTTCTGAAAGGTGAATTCTCCCATCCTGCTACCTTCATATTTCTTCTTTTGATGGGTCATTAGAAGGTTCAGCTCTTTAGTTTCATAGCACATCTTCTACCACTTGACTTAAGAGTAGCCTGCCAGCTACTGAGCAGCCTGCCAGATTGGCAGAGGGTTAGAGGCAAGGGAAATAAAGAACTGAGGGGGAGTGGAAACGTTTGCATTTTGCATGTATTAATAAATTGCATAGGTAATTTTAGGTTCATAAGTAGCAGATATAAATTCTCTGGAGAAGTGTGGTCTAAGGTTCACCTCCTGAATCTCTTGCCTCTCTTCTGCATAGTCCTCTTTACACCCTCCTCATCTGCTTTTCCAGTCTCATATGCCTTGACTGACTTCTGCATCCTCAAACTACCTCCTCCTCCGTTGCTTCGTTAGTAACAGTGATGATGCTCCATTAGCATCCACCTCCCCTGGTTTTGCACTACCTTCCCTATGTATCTCTTACCCTTCTTTTCTCTCTCACTTTCTCTGACTGTCTCTCTGCCCTGCTTCCCTCCACCATTTAGGTCTTGATTTTAATGTTTTTGTCCTCAAGACTCGTGTTTTCTTCATCCATCTTGCATCATCAGAGAATACAGTTTCTCTTTCCATCTGAGGATGCTTTTTTCTCCTCCTCCCACTGTTCACAGGAAGCCTCCCAGCTCCTGGCCACAGCCACTATCAGCAGCTCAGAGCAGGCATTACAGGGTTCGTCCTGCTTAGATACTGCTCCAACAGGTGGGTGAGATTGGAGAAATGAATATGAGGGTACATGGGAGCTGAATACCATGTTTGAGCTCTGAAGGGGTGACAATAATCAATGCAGATGAACTTACCTGTGAATTTACTGACAAACTCGTAACAGGTATCCACGGAGAACAAGAGAGAACATTACTCTGCTGGTATGTGTACATTTTCTTAGAAGATGGCAAAAAGCATGTCTCTTAGCACAGAATCACTACTGTGCCAAATGTTATGTCCCTGCTTCAAACAACAGTGACTCTAAAATAGTCTCAGAAAAGAGTATGGTTGGGTTTTTTCTTACTATTTATATATGAGCAAAATATTTTTTTTCCTTTACTAAATTTTGAGAAACAGCTGACTCATTCTTACTGAAAGTTCCCAAAACTTGTACCTGAAGTATGCACCAGGCATAGAAGATTTCTACCTCAACACTTATTGGCAAAGGTAGAAGTAACCAAATAACAAAATGGAGAATACAAAATATTCTAATTGAACCTCTTTAATAACTTTAGAAATAGGCTGATACCTTAACTGTAAGTTACTGAATTAGAAAAAAAATTTGTGTGACATTTAAAGCTAAGAAGTCTGAGAAAATTCTTTTCTTGAAAATGTGTGACATTTTCTGATCATAAAGAAACGCATTATAACTGCTTCCCACTAGACAAGAAAATAACATTTTTAGATGAGGTTTTTTCTTTCCTGTACTGGAAATTTTCTGTCTGTGCTGTTTCGGAAACAGGTAGGGGATACCATTACCAAGTCATGTTCCACAGAGGAACATTTTTGATTTTTTTTTAATGAACTGTCAGAAATTGCATTACTTGGTCCAAGACTGAAGAATAGTTGCATTCTTTTTGAAGACAAAAAATACTGCATCTATAGTGTATATTTTTACACATGAATGTAGAATTTCATGTTTATATAAAGCCAATGTTACGCTTACATCACCTAAGAATTATATTTTACAATTAATTATGTGAAACACTAAGGATTAATTCCCTGTATTTTTCAAAAGGCATGTGTAAGAAATCAATCAGGGTATGAATGATGAATGTTAACATGCTATACCTCTGTATCCCTCTTTTGACAGCAACTGGTGCAAAACTAACTGCACATATAATCTGTGGGAAGGAGCTCTGGGAGACAGCTAAGAGACAGTGACAATGTCTTTAAACAGGCGGACAATTCCTACTCAACTTGGAGTTTTTAAAGTGAACTGCAAAGGACTCGCATGCCTCTTGGTCTTCACAGTAAGCATTTGTGGCAGTGCCCCAGGGATGTGTCCAACAGCATGCATCTGTGCCAGTGATATCATAAGCTGCACCAATAAGAACCTCAGTCGAGTGCCAGGAAATCTTTATAAATGTATAAAAAGGCTGGATCTGAGTTATAACAGAATTGGGATTTTGGAGCCTGAATGGGTCCCAGTGTTATTTGAGAAACTGAACACTTTAATAGTCAATCATAATAGCATTAGCAGCATTGTCACTGGAAGCTTTTCTACAACTCCAAATCTGAAGTACCTAGACTTGTCATCCAACAGCCTGAAGACACTGGGCAGCCCTGTGTTTCAGGAGCTAAAGGCACTGGAGGTTCTCCTGCTGTACAACAATCAGATAACACAGATCGACTCTTTAGCATTTGGAGGATTGTACAATTTACAGAAACTATACTTAAGCTACAACTTACTCTCAAATTTTCCACTGGACTTATACGTTGGAAAACATAAACTGACAGACCTTGTATTGCTGGATGTTTCCTTTAATCACATCCGGTTGATGCCTATTCAGCGCTTGAGTTCAGTGCCAGCTAAACAACTTAGTGGAATTTATCTTCACGGCAACCCATTTTATTGTGACTGCGTCCTGTACTCCATGCTAATCTTCTGGTATCAAAGGCAGTTCAGCTCAGTGGTGGACTTCAAAAATGAGTACAACTGTTTGTTGCAATCAGACCCAAGAGGTCACAATAAACTGCCTTTACTGCTCGACAACTTTCTGAATTGCTCTGAAAGCACTGTCAACAGCTCTTTCCAAGCTTTTGGGTTTATTCATGATGCCCAAGTTGGTGACAGGCTGATTGTACACTGTGACAGCAGAATCAGTGATGTGGGCACACACTTTGTTTGGATTAGTCCAGACAATAGATTGCTGGAGCCAGACAGGGAGACCAATAACTTTAAGGTGTTTCCTAACGGCAGCCTGGAGATAACAGATGCCCAGCTAGAGAACTCAGGGCTGTACTCCTGCATCGCAATAAATAAGAAAAGATTATTAAATGAAACCGTAGAGGTTAGAATAAATGTTAGCAATTTCACAATGAACAGGTCCCATGCTCATGAAGCATTTAATACAGCTTTTACCACCCTTGCTGCCTGTGTGGCCAGTATTATTTTAGTATTACTGTATCTCTATCTGACCCCCTGCCCATGTCAATGTAAGGCGAAAAAGAAGAAGAGGAAGCTGAACCAAAGCAGTGCCCACTCTTCCATACTGAATTCTACAGTGCCGCAAGAGCTGAATTCTACAATGCCAGCAGACGAGAAGAAGGCTAGCACTGGTAAACGGGTAGCTTTTCTGGAACCTGTGCATGAACCAAAACACAGTCAGAATGGGAAAGTAAAACTGTTTCCTAATGACAGCGTCATTACTGAGAGTATCTTAAAAACTACTCGAACAAAATCCGACTCTGATTCTGTCAACTCTGTGTTCTCAGATACACCTTTCATGCCACCAACTTAGTTTGCTGCCTGTGTTTGTATTGTGCAGTTACTTTTCTGAATACCTCCTCTGCTTGTAGCAACCATCAGGAAAAACAAATAAAAAGAGAGAAAATGTTTTAAAAAATTTATGTATTGTCAGTCCCTGAACTGCGTCTCCCCTCTGAGTGCAGGGCCACGCAACATTGATACCTTGTTTGGGAAAAGCAAACAGCATGGCATTAATGTGAATGCCTTCAGTGCATGCATAGCCTTAGTTTTACCTTCTGGTCCATACATAGAAATTTCTTGTGCATGTTTAACGATGGTTTCCATGCATATAGCTGACCTGCAAAGGCACAGGCTGCCCCCCATGCAACACTCTTGGTCGTGCTTATAAATTAGCTCTTCTACAGTGAGCACAGAAGCAAATTCACACGGCTACTGAGAAAAATGTCCAGACTTCCTGCAATTTCTTTCATGGCCTCATGAAACCTTTACATAAAATTACTAGGGGATAAAAGTCATGACTTTTCTTGGACTGATCAGCACAAACGAATTAAATTTGCCACTGGAATGGCTAGCAGCACTGGGTAAATGTTTGTGGCCTTCAACTGATAGTGTATTTGCAAGTAATTGCTTGAAAACATTAAATGAGGGGTATTGTAATAATTTTATGCAAAACTTAGTCATGAGATTACTTGTGAGAAGTCAAATGCTTGTATTTGTTTATAAATGTTTCACAAAATGAAAACAGGTAAAAGTTAACACACTACTTTTGCAGTTGCCTTAGTCAAAGAATTAAAATTGTCCATCATGGGGACTCATACTAATCAGGAGTAATTAGAGTACTAATTAAACTGTGGTAACTGGATTGATTCTAACCAGTTTTCTTAACCACCACTGCATACTGTATGCTTGGTGTCACATGTGGTGCACAAATCTACCACCATTACCATGGCTCCCACTTAATCTTAGAGGTGGGTGGCTTCTCTTCAGAGATCACTTCATGAAATAGAGGAAGTATTTCAATTATTTTTTTCAGTGCCATGTGGTTCCTGCAGCCTTAATAAATTTGTTTCCTAAAGTTTTTTCTTAAAAGAGGAAATACAGTATTTGGACAAACTCATGGAAAGTATAGAAGACTTTACACACTGTAAATTCAGAAAACACAGCTTTTGCCAAGGCTTGGCACTTGTTTTATGAGTACTGCTTTCTTCCTTGCCCAAATGTAGCATGGTTAAAGTTTATAAATCTTGTAAGACTGACCTGGACTGGTTGTGCAATATAGGTGTCATGAAGTGTTGGGTTATTGTCATAAGCATACAGTTTTATTTGCTCTTTCTTTTTCTGTTTTATTTGCCTTTTTTTAATTTAAGCTTGCTTACATTGGGACTGGGCTAGACTTTGCCAGTCTTCCTCACATTGATAAGCAGCAACTTCAAAGGGGTTTTTCAAGGAATTACAATTTACCAAAGACAAGTAAATGGAACATGTCTGTCTCACTCTATTTTGGGGGAATATACTGACAGGGTAAAGGATAAACAAAATGAGAATCAAAGGGCTACATGGTATGGCAACTGTAACTTATTTTTGAGACGCTTACTGTAACAGCTACTGGCCATTTTTTGTGATTTCTTTTGAGAAGTGTATTATCATGCTAAAGCTCATATCTGGCTAAGCCAAAGCTATTAGCAATTGATTTGCTATGCAGAAATCCTAATGTAGCTAATTGTTTGAAAACAAGCTATCTGACAAACAGATTAGCTCAGGAAACAGCATTTCTGTGTTGTGTGCAAGGTATGTGGAATTAGCAGACTGCTGGAGATTTTAACGAAGATATTCAGGGAAATGGAAAATCAAAATTGTTTTTCCAGGTAGAGAATAATAAATATTTAAGAGAGTAAGATTACTAGGAGTTTGTATCTTTTATTGTGTAAATTTAAAAATAGCTTCTGATATCAAGCAGGTCAGTGTCCTTTCATAAAGGCCTTTCCCTCTTTTGTCTGTGCATATGCAGTAATCCAAAATCCATATTTTTATATATAAGGTATGGTGAAAAATCAGTGATTGCTTTTGCTAAAATCAGTGATAGGGTTGGGTCATCTGTCAGTGAGGCAAAGATTTGGCATTGTCTTCTTCTCAAAGAATTTTTTTTAAAAAGATTTAACCAAGCTACACAATCTGCTGTCATGCCACACGTGTGATGCATGAGTGTCCTCTGTGTTGTACAAGGAGATGATCGGGGACCCAGGGCCAAAGAACTGAAATGGTGGTGAGGCAGAGTGGGAAATGAAGACACAAATACTCTGTGGAAAGTTGTACAGATCAGTTACAGCACTGGGCAGATGTTATGATCTGTTGTCATACATGAGGTTAATTGGCCCAGATTTTGATGTTTACACAAGAGCACTGATGGTCAGTTCCAAATGGGGCTGAAAAAGAAAACAGGCTGTTGTCAGTGTGGCTTCTCCTTAGCAACTACAGCTGAGCAGGTGGACTTCATGGCTGTTCACAGTGCAGGGCAGTGACACTCACTGAGCATTTTAAAAGTGTGTATGGAAGTCCTAATAAAAAAAGATAGAGATCCTTCAGCCTTTTTTCAACAGGGCTGCTGTCCTTCAGCAAAAATGTGGGGATTTGTGGGATAAGAGTAATTCTGACAAATGACTAGAGAAGCTGACCATTGATCTAAACAGCAGATATTCACTGTGACTATTAACTGGCCATATTTTACCGACTCCTTCAAAGTAGTTGCAGTTATAACTGTGATTATGAACAAGGTGGTAAACCCAAAGCTTTTGAAAGAGATGTTGGCTTGTTTTCCGCTACTTTACATCATCATAGCCTCATTCAGCAGGTGCAAGTTTAATAAAGATTTTTAAAGTCAGTACTGAATATTTATCATATAGCACTGACACCACAAATCTACAGACTCAGTCCTCTCTTTTCTTAGAAAGCTGTGGAAAGCCAATGCAGCTCATGTGTTCCTTCCCTCCCGTTGCAATGTAAGCCCCATCAGGGCTGTGAGCAGGGAGCTGGAGCTGCCATCCAGCTCCATGGCTTTGCAGCACTCTGGGTGGTTGCATGGGCAGGAGGGGCTGCCTGGATGCCACACCTGCAGCTCTGGTGTCATCTACCGTCCTAGAAAGGCTTTGTTGACAGTCCTGCCCTACCACCATGTCTTATCTGATAGCCTGTGTCCTGGATTTCTCATTGTTGTTTCCATCAACTACAAAAAATCTGAATGGTATTTTTAATGCAGAGAGAGCTCAGTTCTGAGGTGTTGAGTGCTCTGGTACCAATCCAGACATGGTCTTATAAGGGATTTGCAGTATGGCACAGGTACCAAGCTACTGGCAAGAAGTCTGACTGGGCGTGGGGTCTCTCGCTGCCTCTGCAAGGTGCCTGGAGTGAGATATTCCCCATGCTGCTCCAATAACCCCAGGTGGTTTTGCTTTCCCTTGTGCTCTTTCCAGTGCCTGAGACCATACCACACAGGTCATAGGCAGAGCTCTAAGCTATAGCTTAATGCTCTGTCTTTTTGGGGGGCTCCTATGAATATATGTCCTCCACCACTGTAACAGTAGTGAGCAACTTTTCTCTTACTCAAGGGACTGTTGCATTGATTCCAGCTGTCTCATGGATCAAAAATAAGGGTAATGGCTACAGACAGCTCTGGCAGATCATGTCCTTGCCTCTTTGTGTTTCCAGTACTTCACACACCTGCAAGGCATCAACCTTTGTGGAGGAGTCATGTGAAGCCAGTATGAAACCTCTCAGGCCAGTCCTGAGGGGAGCAACAGCAGCTATGCAACCACATTATCCCCCTGTTCCCCACCTGTAGTGGCAGGAGAGAGGGTAGGTTGCTTGTTGGTCATCTCTTCTGACCTCGATAAGGTCAAGTGTCTGACTGTGACCACCTCACGATGAACAGATACCATGTCTGACTGCCCCTCAAATACACTGAACAGCTGCCATCCAAGCTGGAAGCTGAGGGTGAACTGAAGTGCTTTCCTGATATCAGCCTGACATCTGCAGTGGATTCTGACAGCCAGCACCATGTCCTTTAAGGTCAGGTGTTTACCCCCTGCTTGTTGGGCAAATGGTGCTCCAGGTAGTAATGTATCTATTTCCTTAGCATCACTTTTTTGAAAAACCAGATGTCTGAGAACTTCTAATTCTTGACAGTGTCAAAGAACTAACAACCAAAACCCTAGGGCCAAGTTGAGATTAAGCCATAAACTTTAATTTAGGTTTGCACAAGATGATTTCTTCCTACTAGGATAAATCAACCTCCTTCAGAGTACTTTTATACCTTGTCTGCAGCTTATTCCTAATAACGTCTCATGTCTCTGAACTGGTTGAGAATAAACCAGCCATTATGGGCCAAATCATACAATTGTGGTCATCCCTAAAGTAATGCAGCTGTGGCAGTCCCCTGTGGACTACAGCCACTGGCTGACCCACCCAGCACACACTTCTATTCTCTTCTGCAAGCTTGAATTGTCACCATTTGGCTATGGCAAGGGTTGGGACCTTTGACAGCTTCTTGCTTCCTTGTGCGCTGTGTAAGAACCGGCTTCCTGAAGATGATCTCTGAATGTACTGCAAAGTTGCTGTAAGGGATTATTTAAATTGATTAATTAAAACAAATACTTCTAAATGAGAGCTGGCATTGGTACATAGTAGCTTTTGAGAAGACAGGATACATGTTTCATTTACAGATTGGGCAATTTAGATTTTACTGACTTTCTTTTTGCTTCTTTGGTAAACATTACTTTGATCATTAAATATGTAGAGAAAGAGAGTGCATATTTAAGGAATTTTTCCTCTGTTCCTTTTTTTTCTATTTGCCCAGTAGGGCTCAGATGTGAATAAAAGTAGAAGTTTGAGGCTGAGGGGAAGAAGGCCAAGAAATATCTTGAGCCAAAGGCTAATATCTCAGCTCTTGTCTTCAGTGAGTACATGACAAAAATTAAAAAAAAACCCAAACACATAACACCTAAATACAGATTTCATGGGTATTTTGTAGGGTCTGGATGTTAACAGGGCTCTGACAGCAATAAAGCTATGAAGGTGATCCACACAAAAAAATCAAAGCGTTAGAGTATTAATATCTGTTTCTGAATAGGAGAGATCCCAGAC